GCTTTCTATCATCCGACAGTTGAGTAAAGTGCGCTGCCAGACAGTGATTGATCCGGCGAAGAGAGAGAGCGAGAGAAAGACAGACAGAGAAAGCGTGAGAGAAAGAGAGAGAGAGCGCTTCGGCTAGCCTCCCCCCTCCTCCTCGTCCTCCTCCTTCTCCCTCTCCTCCTTCTCCCTCTCCTCCTTCTCCCTCTCCCTCTCCACCCACCAACCTACGAACAAGCGGCCGCTCTTCATAGATTTTTAAATTAGTGTCAGCTTTTGCCCCAAAGATGTGTTATTGACGGATGAAATAGAAACCACGCAGGCAAACAGTGGCGCGGCTCCCCCCTTGAGTTTTGCCTCAGCCTTGGTAATTGAAAAAGTGCAGAGGGAAAATATGTGAGTGTGTGTTTGTGTTTGTGTGTGTGTGTGTGTGTGGGTTTTGAGCTTGTGTACGAGCTCGGAACGCCGCTCTTTATCTCGGCGGAAGAAAAATGGCGAGCGCGGAGAGAGCGGATTGAAGTGTTGCGGAGGAGATGTTTATCGGCGCGCGCACACCTAGGCCCAGACAACAGTGTTACAGGGCGTATAATCCTGGAAATACAGAAGAGAGAAGCAGAGAGAGAGAGAGGAATATGATCAGAACTACTGTTATGTAATAGTAAGGACTCATGTGAGGGAGTGTGTTTACAAAGTGAACTTGTAGCGTGTTGTAGCAGCAGATTGGAAGAAATGCTGAAGGGATGTGCAAACTTTTTTCGTTAAGGGTCTCAAATCAAAACGAGGAACACAGACTGATGGACAATACGGCGGATAATTTAAATACACGGATTTTTAACAGGTTAGATTGAGCCACTAGATGTGTTTTCAAGCTTACATCCTCAATAAGACACTCTAAACATTTGATATTGGCTTTATCATGGTAGATTTTCAAAAACTAGTAGTTGAAAAAGTAAAAAGTACTACTTAAAGCAGGGATCTGACTCATCAGCCAGTTTAATTTCGTGGAAACCGTCTGACCTTGCAGCATTAGGATTCGTTCGCTCAAAGGAAGATGGGTACTTTTTTTAGTTAACCATTCTCTATTATTTGGTTGTGACGTATGAAATGCGCCAAATCCTGTAGGAAGAAGGCCAATAACATCTTTCCCCGTGATAAAATTCACCAAACATTCTCTTTTTTCCAGCATTAAGTTCTCGATCTCGAGAATCGTTGCCAACACAGAATGTATGTCTTCGTCTTCATCCATCTCGACGCTTTGTTTACTGTTATTCTGTACCACAAAATGGACCCAGACAGGCGCTTGAGTTTGACGTCATGGTTTCACAGCTCTTCGCTGATTGGCCGATGGGCGGTCTACAACTTCCGGGGTTCTTGCAAACCGTCTAGTGTATTCTGATTCCTGACCTAGTCGCTGTAGAGAAATGAAATTGAATGGAGGGACTAGGTGACAGCTGCCTGGCTAATCAGTAGCTCTCCACCCACTTCCAAGTAGCTCGCCAAGCGATTAATGAACTATATATATATATAGTGCTGAATAACTCAAATTTGATTAATTGATTTTCTTTGTAAAAGTATAATTTTGATACCTAATTCAACTGGATAAGTAGATAATGGGTTATGTTTTATAGACATCTGACTGTAGCTTATCTTCGGCTTACCATGCCTCCTGTATTTACAAAATTTCTGGCGGCTGCTAAAATTAGTAGCTCTCTGGCATTTTCATTTTATACAAAGTAGCTCACAGGAGGAAAAAGGTTGGAGGCCTCTGACTTAAGGCGATATGGGCCAATAAAAATTGGTTTTGAGGGCTGGATTTGGCATGTCTGGTGAAAAATTTTGATCTGGGAAGAAAGTTAGAACCAAAAGTGTTTTTGACAACATTTTAAAATTTGTATTTGTAACACTTTTTGTAACTAGTTTTGGGACAACATATTATGACATAGATCTTAGAATAAGGTTTAATTTTCATTTTCATTGAAATTTTCGTTCAAAATCATATAGGCCTATGCATAAGATTTACCTCCTAATGTTTAGTTTTTGTCTTTGGCCATAATTTACTATAATTACTGTAATTTAAGTTTTGCCCCATTAACCACCACTTTATAATAATTACACTTTACCACGTTTGAATGACTAACTATGGGACCATTAGTCGTTTTTGAAGTTTGTTGTGGAAAATGGAAAAACAACTTTTTTAATATTATTATTTAATGGTTGAATAATATTGGTTTACATCATGATGGAGATTTCTACATGAGTTTTCAAAAGCCTGTAAGTTCAAATACTTGAAGGAACTATAAGAAAACACTTGGCCTAAAAACTCATATAGGGGTACAGCTAACAACAACTTGCATTATAACAAGCCTTTCCAGATTCTCTGACACGAAAACATTTTATATTTAGATGCAGATACAACAGAGCAGACTTATTTTTACCTCAAGTGCTGCTTATACAATATATCTGTACTGGAGTATTTGAGTGAACAAAACATGCAATAAAACTACTTATTTCAGAAATGTATCTATTCAGTAACAATAAGTTTAGAATTGTACCGTGTAATTTAAAGTTTCCTCCGTAATGAAAAGGCTGTGAAGTGATTTTAGGTCACGCTGTTGCATAAAGTGGTGCATAGTTTAAAGCCAAAATTTCCCGTCGTGTGGAGATCCTCTGGAGGTCCTGTGCTCCTCTGGGACGAGGTTCTGTCCCATGTGAGAGAATCAAACACAGGAAGCAGCCCTTACGCCCCAATTACCTCCAACTTTTACAAAAACATCTGTGCCAAAACCTGCACAACTTTTAACAACTATTTTGGGTCATGTCATTTCAATTCCCTTCCCTTTTGCTTGTGTTAAAGGTGCACTGTGTAACTTTTTTGGTGAGACTGCCACATGCATAGACTGGATAAAGAAGTAGACTAAGGGCCTGTTTACACGAGAACACTTGCGGCTAAAAACAACAAAATATTTTACCTAAGTGCCTTTCGTTTAGACCAGGGGTGTCAAACTCAAATTCACAGAGGGACAAAATTAAAAACTGGGACTAAGTCGTGGGCCAAACTAAATATTTATTGAAAAATTTTAACAACATCTGCATGTTTTCTCTTCTTTGGAGATATGTAATACTAAAACTTTTCCTATTAAAATAAATGTTTAATAATAGTTTTGCTTAAACACTGAATCCAGAACAAACCCAATATAAAATAATAACAAAATTTTAAATAAATAATGTCTTTATGGACGATCTGTAACTCCTTTTTTCCCACAAACCAACAACTAGTCAAAAATGACAACTTGCTTCAATGAAAATCCAGTCTTTCAACTATGAACAGTCAAAAATCATAAAGAAAACATTCATCCAAGCTCAGTTTACTAGACTGTGATTCATGCTGATACACATGGGTCTAAAGCAGATACAAATACTTGGTATCTCCTCTTAGATACAAGTTCATCAAAGTAGTAGTATTAGTAGTAGTATTAGTGGTGCATGAGCCATACTGGCATTGCAGCCAGCGCGGGCCAGCTCTAATACACATTTGATATGAGCTTGTGGGCCAAATTCAATAGTAATGCGGGCCAAATTTGGCTCTTGGGCCTGAGTTTGACATGTCTGGTTTAGACAGTGACAGCATTTTTTGGGGCTTAAAAATGCAAAAATCTGAAAGCACCCTCCAGAGTGAAAAGTTGAATACATACAGTACACAGAAACAAACTTGTCGCCTGGCATGCATACCCAATCCAATTCCACACACTTGTGCGTCAACGTATGCACGCAGATTTCCTCCTGAAAACACTCATCTAAACACGGAATAAAAAAGTGTAGAGGCGACACCACTTTTGCTTCTTCTGTTCAGACCGTCATCATATAAACGTAGCCTAAGAGAGTGTGACATTGTCCGTAGCATTCAGCTCCAATCAAATGAAGCTCTTTGGAATTTGGAACTGAGTTCATAACAGGAATAAGATTTGATTTATGGATAAAATCACAAATAAAAACACCAGGATCACGTAGAGCGGGTTAAGATGAACATTTTAAGATAAACATGAGGAGCCTGACAGCAGCTGACACATAGAGACGGGTGACGTTTTTGTCAACATAAAGTGAAGTGAAAAGTAGAGTCTATGGAGCCAGAATTGCACCCATACTCACTTCTTATCTGGAACGTGGCGACCAGTGGGTTAGTTACTGCTGTAGAAGATTCCAGCTTGTCCATGAAACAGTGGAAGTAAAAGGCTGGAGACCAACTGGACGTCTTAAGCAGGAGAAGTTTATTCACCATGTGTTAGTTTCAGAGTAGTTTCACTATAATTAGCTCTACCCTGCAAGCAGATATAAGGAAGTGTCCACCGGCATTCTGACCCGAGCTAAGAAAACGTGTTCAACCAAAGAAACTTTTGTTCTGCTGACGAATAGAATTTCTCCTTTGCCATTTATTTCCCGTCAATTGAAAAGTCAAAATAGTTTGATTTAAAAGTGAACACAGTGTGATCTTTGAGTATTAAAGCCCCTTGACTCTGCTTCCAAAGGAGGAGGAGGTTTATAAAGCAAGTGTGGTGAGACTGAAGGCCAGTAGGCACCAGTTAGATAAAAATATGCCACAGTTTAGACAGTGGTATGCCAGTAGTATGCATGGTGTAAATATAGCTTTTGTGAGTCAATGATAAACTGAGATGTACATGAAGGATAAATTACTTAAATTCTTTTACAGCTATGTCCATTTATATATGTATACACTTTATGGCCACACACTCGTCTCCATGGATATGTTATTGCTTTGCCTGGAAAGTTCTACAATATGGCAATAGACTCCCACTTGCATTTATTCAGTTACAGGTGTTATTGCATTTTTCTCTGAGCAATCAAGCAATTAAGTTTAGTGTTTTTTAGGGGCAGCTGCGCTAATGTGACCAAGTCTACATCACTGCAAAACCTTTTATGGACCAGTTACACATGCAGTAATAAAACTACACTTGTCTCATTAATCTAACCTTACATTGTGTTGCTTTGTGTGTGTGCAGGCTCTGACATGGCCATCTTCTGCCTGCTGTGTGGGAAGCGCTTCCAGACGCAGACGGCCCTGCAGCAGCACATGGAGGTCCACGCCGGGGTGCGCAGCTACATCTGCAGCGAGTGCAACCGCACCTTCCCCAGCCACACGGCCCTCAAGCGCCACCTGCGCTCCCACACGGGTAAGACCACGCAGCTGTTCAGTACCGTGCACGTGTTCACTTTAAACATGCACCTCTCAGAATTTACAAGTGAAATCATGCAGATGGTCAGTACCATACAGGAAGGCAAGGCAAGTTTATTTGTATAGCACAGTTCGTACACAAAGTATTTCAAAGTCATTTACAGAATAAGAAATACATGAAAATCTCAATACAAACAAATCAAAACATAAATAGTAATCATAAAAGATTCTTTTTAAAAGTTTTCTTTTATGATGACATTAAGAGAGAAGAGTGCGTAATGAAAAATGAAAACCTTTCAGTCCTTTGCAGCTAAACAGAAACGGATTTAAACAGAGTCAAAGTAGAGTCCTGTCTCACATGTTCAGCTAGACCGTTCCTGGTTTTAGCTGCATGAATCTGAGGGCCTGTTTACACGAGAACACTTGTGGGTAAAAATGACAAAATATTTTATTGGAAGTGCCTTTTGTTTAGACTGTGATGGCGTTTTTGGGGCTTAAAAACACAAAAATCTGAAGCCACCCTCCAGAGTGGAATAGTTGAATACACTCCTCCGTAGTGTTTCCGTCTGTTTCCACACTGCCTAGGATGCAAAACTCTGATCAGATCTGCTCAGGTTGCATACACATTTATTTCACATACATACTGTACACAGAAGCAAACATGTGGGACCTTCAAGCTTCTCTGGCAGTTCTAATAAACTTACAAGAGGCATCACAACAAATGTATAGAAGATACAGAATGAACAGAGAAGGATCTGGCACGCAGACCCAATCGAACTCCACACAATTTTGCGTCATCGTATGCACACAGGTTTCCTCCTGAAAACACTCATCTAAACGTGGAATAAAACATGACGCGACACCACTTTTGCATCTTCTGTTCAGACCATCATCATATAAACGTAGCCTAAGAGGCTGACTCCCTGTGTTTAGTCCTGACTCAGGGCACCAGCAGGAGGCCGGTCCCTGAGCTCCTCAGAGTGCGAGATGGTTCATATGCCACTAAAATGTCACAGATGTACTTTGGTGCGAGGCCTTGGAGAGACTTGTGCACAAACAGAGCCGCTTTAAAGTCTTTTCTCTGAGGTATTCACTAATAATAATAATTTTATTTGTTAGGCACCTTTCTGGACACTCAAGGTCGCCAGTACTATGCAGGATTTAGATGTTCAGTTCCACACAAGACCATGCAGATGTTCAGTTTACACACTCAGACACGAGTGAGTCTGCAGATGTTCATTTATAAAGCCACCCCTGCTCACACACAGATGAGACCATGCAGCTGTTCTAGTTTATGCATACACTTCTTCTCCTACACAGACAAACTGCTCATATTCAGCTCACAAGGTCACGTACAAGACCATACAGCTGTTCAGACTCTCAACCCACTTCTACTCACAGACCGCTGAAACCTTACAGCAGCTCAGATCCTCTCGTCCCTCCTACAGCTATTCAGATTTACCACAGTGCCACATATAAGACCATGCATCTGATCTAGTTCTCGAAGCTCTCCAGCGCCACCTCTGCTCACAGACGAGCAACAGCAGCTGGGCTAAAAGCAGACTGCAGTTCAGGTTAGGTGAAGCCAATTACCTGTGCACTGGGGGGACTCTCGCTGAGAAGGAAAAATATAAGTAATCAACATTCAAGGCTGTCTGTGTGTCTGCGTGGACCCAAACAAAAATATCTCATAATATCAAAGTGAAGAGCAAAGATGAAAAAAACAGGCTCAAATCAGTTAATGTGACGTCCATATTTTGCTTTTATTTTAGTTAATTTTTTTGTCTGTGAATGTTTCATGTAGATTTTAATGCCAATAACATACCTACTGTTTTTTTAAGTAATTATTTGAGAAATTATTTTGTTTAAAGGCTCTGTATCGGATTTTCTTAGTGTCTTAAAAATGTGAAAAAACTAAATTTGTGGTCCAAAGTTTTTCCTCACTTATCTAATTATTCACCATTAAAGAGTTTATAAGCGCTTTTCAGAACTTTCAGAAGAGCAGAGTTTTGGTTTTATGCCGACTAGCATGCAAACGTGCACTTCCTGACAATTAAATGGTTTATAATTAGATGTAGATCGGACACAGTGGACATATTTTGACCTCAAGAGCTGCTTTTACAATTTTATTCAATTCTGTGCCTTTTTTTTTTTTTTTTTTTTACATGACAGCAAAAAAAAAAAAAAAAAAACTGGCTCCAAAATTGGAAAATCTCCTAAATGTTTTCAGTGTTGTAATTTATTTCACATGACCTTAAGGTTTGGATTTATATTTTAACATGTTGCCATTCTAATTAAGAAGCTTCTCTCAGATAACGAAAATCCAACCACAATCTGCAAAGATAAATCCGACGCTATGAGCCAGAAGAAAGTGGGTCACACGATTTCTTTTCACAATTTTATTTTCGATTAGGTTACATCGTCTTAAAAAACCTGAAAAGCAGAAATAGTTAATCATTTTTAAAGGTTTGCAGTGATCCAAGTTATTCTTTTATTTGACTTAAACATTCAGTGCATCTTAATTATTCAACAAAGAGTTTATAAGTGCTTTACAGAACTTTCAGAAGAGCAGAGTTTTGGTTTTATGCTGACAACTAGCATGCTAACGGCACATCCTGACAATTAAATGCTTTATAATTAGATGTAGATAGGACACAGGTGGATATATTTTGACCTCAAGAGAAGCTTTTACAATTTTATTCAATTCTGTACTAGGGCAAGAGACAAAATCAAAATTGTCTCCAAAATTGTCATGTTTTTTTTTTTTTTTTTTTTAATGTTATAATTTATTTCACATGACCTTAAGACCAAAATCCACAAAGATAAATCCCATGCTGTGAACCAGAAGAAAGTGGGTCACACAATTCCTTGACAATTAAATTTTTGTTTAGTTTACACCGTCTTAAAAAAAAAAAAGTTTGCAGTGATCCAGAGTTATTCTTCATTTGCCTTAAACATTCAGTGCATTATAATTATTCACAGCGACAAGATTTTCACAACAATTTTTTTGCCGTCATGGTCCTCCTAAAAACAACTAGCATGCTAAACGCGCACTTCCTAATTCTCGGAGAGCAAATTGCTTTATAATTAGATTTTTTTGTTATTTTTCATGGAGTCTAAAAGTGAAAAACTGCGTCGCACACAGGTCACGCTTCTTGCCTTGGACCTCAGTATAACCATTTTATATTTTTCATAGACACATCAGGGTTTTAAATTTGGAGAAAAAAAAAGAAACAAATTGCTAACCTATGCATACGTTTGGTAACAGTCCTTTCAGGCGTCCAGCTTGGCGGTAATCTGTTCGAACGCTTTCACCTTTGTATCTTTATCGCCGCGTTCCCTCAATGGGCCTACACTTTTTCCAACCTCACCCCTCCCCTCGGCGAGTCCGTACAGCAATTTACGGTGGCGCGGCGCGTTTTGTTTACAGTATTTCACCGTGTATTAGCGTGAATGATGTCGCCCGCGCGAATAAACCGCGTTCATTTCGCCGGCATCGCAAATGAGCCGCTAGCATATTTACACTAGCTGTTTATCCCCCATCGCGCCGAGGCCATGCAGCTATTCAGTCCGTCGGAATACAAACAAATAGATCCCATTTTGCGAAAGAGGATGCTCGTTTCGCTTCCTACCTCCTCCTCTCCTCCCGCCCTCCCTCCCTCGTTCCCTCTCTCCCTTTAGCTCGCCGCCTGTCTGTGACCTTAAATAGCAGTCTCGGTGTCACATGCGATTTCGCTCAGTGGCGCGCGGATAAATATTTGAAAGGAGAGCCAGCGAGATGAGAGCGCTGTCCGGGCTATTTACAAGTCAGCCCGGATGCAACGGTTACAGGAGAAAAAAGGGAGAGGAGGGAGAGGAGGGGGCAGAGAGGAAAAGCGGCGGGGATGGAGGGGGATGAGGAGGAGGGGGGGTCCGTACCAGAATACACGGGCGATAGTAAAACAGTGGTAGCAGTTGTCGAAATGTACACGCAGGATTTTTATTTATTGCATTTTCGGTGTTGTGAAGCAGTGCCGTTACCGTGAAAATCGGTGACATTTGGAATAAAAAAACGCAAAAAAATAAATAGCCAGAAGTCTGTATCCAATTTTTTATTTCCCCATGTTTGAGCAGAATGTGTCTTGGCCTAGTACAGATATTTTGTATAAACAGCTCTAAAAGTCAAAATAAATCAGCTTTGTGTTGTCTTCATCTACTTATAAAGCGTGTACTGTCTGATAATCAGGAAGTGTGTGTTCGCATGCTAGTTGTTAGACAGTTAGTAGCTTCAGTGTGACTGAATGTTGTGGGAAAAGCTTGTGTATACCTCTAAAATGTGAATTTATTAAGTATTATTAATAGAAATGTAACGATATCCAAATCTCACGGTACGATATTTTCACGATATGCATCTCACGATACGATATTTATTGCAATATTTTGATATAGTTGTAGATAGGACACGTTTTTGCTTTTAAAATACCCTGATAAGATTTTGGTGTGAACTTTTACTGTCAAAATCTCAAGAATTCAAGTAAAAAACTTCATTCTGTCTGAACTGAAATGAATCATGGGATATGTAGTTCCCGAAGTGTATTGGCTATTGCAGCTGTAAAATGACGCATTTAAGCAAAGGAACTTGTGATTAGATATATTGTGACGCCCCACGATATTATTATTGTGAGACTTTGTCATGATCTGCATGTAGGTCTGCAAGAAAAAGTTGTATACCTGGATCTGTGACCTTATCGTCTTTCTGGATCAGCATTTCGTCTGAATATCCTGTCCTCAGTAGGGCCAGTGTTTCTATGCTTATTCCTTTCACTACTTCATGAAACACTACCGGTCAAAAGTTTTAGAACACCACAGTTTTTTTGTGTTTATTGTGTCATTGCACCTGAAAGCATAGAATAAATAAGCAATTCAAGTTGAAAAATAAATCATGGAATCAATTTATAGACCAAAACGTATTCTAAACTTTTGATTCATGAAAGTGTCCATCCACCTTTTAACAGCTGA